TGGAAAAGCAGCAGGAACATGGCACCTAGACTTGGTCCCTTGTAGGAACATCCATGGTCCCTGCTCTGCTGATCTGAGGAATTTGACAGTATTTGGGGCAGACCACTATACAGTAAGTGCTCAATAAAGGCACATGTATAATCCTAGGTACTTGGGACACTGAGGTGAGATTTATAAGTTTGAGGTCAGCCTGTGCAACTTAATGAAACCCTGTTTCAAAATTAAAAACAAAATAAAACTGTTTTTTAAAGGGCCGGGGAAACAGCTCAGCAGTAGAGCCATTGTGTAGCAGTATCCTTAGGGTCCTGGGTTCAACTCTCCAACACTGAGAAACAAACAAATAAACAATGAGCTTCATTTCCCTTCCTTTTCTTGTCTCACCCGAGGACTGGCTCTGCCCTTGGCTCATTCTCCTAGCCTTGATCACAACCTGGAAATTCATTTCTGTCTTAGAATTTTTCTTAGGAGCTGATACTCAATAGTCAGCGTTCACTCCAGCATCACGCTGCTCTTTAGCACTTTGTCTCTGGCTCATGGTCCTCCTGCGTCCTCCCTCTTCAGCCTTTTGAAATAGGAGCTGGGCGCCTGGGAAGGTGCCAGGCCACTAGCCTCTCTTCTCGTGGAACTCTTCCGTGATTCCAGTGTCTTATCTGTGCACGCCCCCCAGTTCACCATTCAATCATTTTCACTCTTAGAACTTATGGCTATTTGGGGTTTTTTTGTGTGTGTGCATGTGTATGTGTGTTTTGTTTTGTTTTGCCAGAGTTCCCTGACCTTTTTGGAAAGATTCCCCCTAAAGCCTAAGGTACCCATGAGACAATTTCCAACATTTCTTTCCTGAGCTATGAGGGCCCACAGGGAATCACCCACGTGAAAGACGTCCCCACAGTAAAATCCCTTTCCCAGGAGTCAGACAGTGGACTTACCGCTGGAATGGACACCATGCAGATCCTCCTCTGCCAACCCAGACGTAGTCACAGGACATCAGAGCTGACAGGACTCCTCAGCAGGACAATGGGCTTAAACTCACCAAAACTGGGGCTCACTCGACCCTGAAACCCAACCCAGGGCTAATTAAAGCTGGCCCTCTGTTCTTAACCCTTTTTTTTTTTTTTTTTTTTGGATTTTTTCTGGTACTGGGAATCGAACTCACGACCTCGTGCTTGCCAGGCAGGCACTGTGCCACTGAGCTAAGCCCCGAGCCCCTGAGGGCTCCCTTACTAATGAATGGCTAGGAAAGGCAGCACAGTTCCATACAGCAGGATCTGCTGAGCTAGGAATCACAGGCAGGAGAGAGAGAAAATGAGGAGGATTTGATCATACCCAAAGAACCACGAACCTATTGGCAAAGAGTTGTAGGATTTAGAGTAGGGTATGGTGGTATACCCCTGTCATCCCAGTTCTCTGGGAGGCTGAGGCAGAAGGATTAAAAGTTTGAGGCCAGGCTGGGCAATTTCAAGAATTTGAGGATTTAGGGCTGGAGAGTTTCTGATCTAATGATCTAACCCAACATGAAGGAAGAAAACATAAGCATACAGGAGGGGCGGACTTGGGGGAGGTTTTTTTTGTTGTTGTTCTTAAGAAATTTAAAGCCGGGGTGATGGTGTACGCCTATAGTCCCAGTACTCAAGAGATTGAGGCAGGAGACTCACGATGAGTTCAAGGCCAGGCTGGGCTGCACAGTGAGTTTGAGGTGAGCCTAAACTACATAGTGAGACCCTGTCTCAAAAAAAAAAAATAAAATAAAGGGGCTGGGGATTTAGCTCAGCGGCACAGTGCCTACCTGGCAATCACAAAGTTGTGAGTTCGATTCCCGGTACCGGAAAAAAACAAAAAACAAAAAAAAAAAATTAAAGCTGTGTTATCTTCCGGTTATTTCCAACCATCCCATTCATTAAACCAATTCCTATTAAGAAAGAAAAACATGGGCCTAAAGCCTACTGTGTGCACAGCTGGACCCCACAATGGGCCCACCCTCAGGAAGTCCTTAGAGAAGGTATCTAATGAAGCAGACAAGGCCAGAGGACAAACAGCCAGCCTTACCAGTAGGGGAGCACCATGAGTTCTACGGAGGGGCCTGGAGTTGGGTAATCGAGAGTGGAAATCTCTGGAAAAACCCTAATACCCCTGTTGCAACATTCTAGGAAAATGGCTGTCGCCTATGGATTGAATAAGACTGAATCACCCAGGGAAGGTTTGGGGCAGTCAACTCTGTTCCACATGGCTCACCCCCACTCCCTGGTTCCCCAAAAGTGCTCCAGCAGCCCTCTGGTAACCACGAGAGGAGAGATGACACTCTGATCTGGAATTTCAGCGAAATGCATGCAAATGGCCAGTGGGCTCTGTGGAGGAAGTTGCGAACTAGGAGAGTCGGGCAGCTCCGTGTTTGTTCCCCGAAAAGCAGAAGTGAGAGTGGGTGAGATATCCCAGCTCCCCTCCTGGGGCGCCCTGCCCTTGCTGCTCTCCCCACCCCTACTCCGGGATGAGCCCCTGTCCTTTCCCTGGAAGAAATGAGACCTCTGACTTTCACCCATCTGCCTGTCTGGGAAAATACCCATCGGCTAAGGAAGCCAGTCTTGTAATTTTCCTTGAGGACCGGAACTGAGCAACAGATTTGGGGATAGGGAAAGGGGAAGAAAGGTCTCCCTCCTCCCCAACACTGTCCAGCCCCTACCACAGTCAGGGAGTGACCCGTAGGTCCTCCTGGGCCCCTCTGCCCTCCTTTCCTAGATAAAACAATGGCAGGTTGGTCTGCCCAGTGACACCAAGGTCCCAGCTAGTCTGGCTCCAGTGGTGGCGACCACCCAGCTTTCCAGGCTGCGCCCAGGACTGTCAGCCCCAAGCGTCAGGCAGATAGTGGTCGGGCAGGAAATTAGAACATGGCTGGTTTGTGTGTG